CAGGGAGGGTCATGCAATGTCGATAACAGTAATGGGTGGTCATCGCCACCCCCGATTACAGGGAATCTCTTGAGTTAGGATAAGTTCAATTAAACATGTACAGATATCTACAAAAAGACAAGAATTAATCAGACTTTTATTTATTGTGTGATTGGAATAAGTACCTAATATATTGTTCCGATCTCTCTTTGGTGTCTTGATTATACATCTAACAAAGAACTCTCGTTCTTTCTTAAAATCATTAAAGGAAATAAAGAGAGAGAGGAAAAAAAAACTTAAAAGTAATATTTAAAAATGCTTTCAGGTGTGGAAAAGTGATAAATTTTGAATGTCGTAATCTGTCTACCATTTAAAAATATTCAAATATTCAACCAGCCAAAGTAAGCATAACTTTGTAGTATCGGATATATATCTCTAATAATGAAATTGTGAGTTCAAATCTCTCACCCCACCTATTATAAAAGAAAAATAATAATAACATTAACATTTGGAAGTATTTTTTAAAATAAAAATTTATGAATATTTTAGTTTGTGTTGGACATACCTTTTAAAGCGCTTACGTAAGAATAAAATAATTTTTTTGTTAAAAATAAAATTTGGTAAATTTTTCAAAACTCCCCATGAATTATTCGTTTGTTTCTTAGGATGGATGGGTATCTGGATTCTCACATTTATTTTGTAGTAATGTAGCATATCTGAATATAATCTCAAGATGTCTGAGTATCGTGAGATCTCATACTTAAGCGTTTCGGTTGTTTTGGAGATTAATTTTGGAAACAAAAAAACAATAATAATAAGTTTCTTATTTCTGGTTCTATTTTCAATTTTGGAATAGAAGCGTTTATTTTTAATTTAAAAATTCACTTTCATACAAAATTTTTAATTTTTTAATTTAAAATTTTAGAGAATAAGAAACCAGAAATTTTTAGGTCCTTTAGTTGGATCTTTAACACTAATCAATTCATGTTTCATATCAAAATCAATTGATAGCAATGATTAGATAGTTCACTTATATTATAAACTCTTGTTACATCTTTTGTTCAAAATTAAGGAGGGCCAAAGTGTATTTCCCATATCCTCGTCTCGTTAGCCAAAATTAGAATGAAACAATATTTTTTCTTACTCTAACCCTAATTAATTACGTGTCCAACTAGTATTTCTTATCTTTTACGTCTCTATAATTAATTACGTATCCAACTAGTATTTCCTATCTTTTACATCTCTAATTAATATATATATATATATATATATATATATATATATATATTCAAAAATGAGTTTTAAAAAACTTCAATCGTTTCAATTTAGTTGAACAAGGAAAAATAGAGGTATCCTTAAAATATTAGTCTGTATTACCCATAAATCTCAATGACCAAAAATTGGAAATTGAATTTACAAGGTAAAAGACTCTACAATATATAGAATATATGGAATACCACGTAGATGTTTCTTTTTTGGATCGTGTATTCAATTAGTTTCAATCAATTAAGTAAAAAGAAAAAAAAAAGATTAAGTTTGTCAACAACCGCGCAAAGTGATTGGTATGTTTGCTAATACTTGCTCTGTTTTCATTTCTAAGAAGAAGGATATTCATTTAATTTTCTATTTTAAAATGAAGTAACAAATCATAATCAGGCAAGTTCTTGTAGTTGTTGAAGGCTTAACCTCAAGTATAAAGGAAACTACAGGTGTTGGAGGCAAAAATATGACATATCAGTGGCGATATATAGTCGAGCTCATGAGCTCACCTATTGTTGAGCTCCTAAGCTCACCTATGGTCGAGCTCCTTAACTCACTTATTGTCGAGCTCCTAAGCTCACTGATGGCCGAGCTCGAGCTACTAAGCTCATCCATAGTCAACCTCAATCATCACCGACCTATTGTCCGACATCTAACCACCATGTCATAACGGCTATAATGGACTTGTCCTTTCCCTCCAAGGATCTTCATTCTTCTTATTCAGGTATACAATTATACTTCGAGAACGACCTATTTGAGCTCGTGCCTATACTGACTTGAGCGTCGGAGTGTTTACTTTATTTTTGCAAGTCCTCCCTTGCATGAGCTCGCACCTTGTCAACTCGGCCAGTTGCCATGTGGCCGACCTCAGCAGCTCAATAGAATTTTGCATCAACAGTTGGTGTCGTTTGTGTGGGAATCGACAATTTTAAGTCATTCCTAACAAACCAAGCTATGACTCGCACAATTTCTCAAAGCTCTAGTACTCACAACAATCGAGTGGACCTCCAAAGCTTTTCAAGATCTTTGCTGAAGAGAAAGATCTTATCATTACGGATGACCTTCCCCTCAAGGAAGACCTCACCTTGAGGACGACTTTCTCTTTTGGAAGACCTATTCCAAGAAAAAGACTTTATCACTATGGATGACCTTCCCCTCAAGGAAGACCTCATCTTGAGGAAGACTTTCTCTCCATGAAGACCTACTCCAAAAGAAAGACTTTATCAATACGGATGACATTCCCCTAAAAGAAGACCTTACTCTTGAGGATGACTTTCTTTCCCAGAAGACCCGTTCCAAGAGAAAGACCTTATCATTGTGGATGACCTTCCCCTCGAGGAAGCCCTCACCCTTGACCTTAAGGATGACCTGCACTTAAAGATGACTTTCACTTAAATGATGACTTTCCCTTCAAGGATGAGCCTCCATCAACTCAAAGATGAGCTACTTATGGGAAAGGTCATTGGATCAGAGATAGCCCATCCCCAACTAAAGATAGAGCTCCTAGCTGAGCTCATCATTAAAGGAAAAACTTCCACTTGATAGATCTTCTCTAACTAATGGGAGAACTCCCATCAGTTAGCTCACCCCTACTTAAAGAAGAAACTTCTATCAAATACCTCATCTCAGCTAAGGCGAGCTCTCATCAGATAGTTCATCTCGATCAAAACGATAAGCTCACATGAGACAGATCACCTCGGCCTAAAAAAGAACCACCATATAGCTTCACTCTACCTTAAGGATGAACTCCCATCATCAGATCATGTTTGAGCAAGCACGACACCCTACCTAAAGTGACCTATACTCGATGGGGGCACCAAAACATAAAGTATGCATGTCAAACCTTAAACACCCAACTTAGGTCAAGCTCTAACTTCAAACTCCTAAACACCTAGCTTAGCCCAAACTCATCTAAGCTCCAAGCTGAAACCCAGCGTCCGGCTTAAGTCAAAATGAAAGCTCCATATGCAAACTCTCAAGCGCACAACTTAAGCAAAACTTCTCCAAGTTCTTAATCGAACTCTTCGGCCGAGCTTCTCAAGGTTCCCAACTCCAGCAACGTGTCATTAAGGTGAATGTATCTCCTAAGGCTAGATACTATAGCTTGTAAAGGGAGGGCTCATGTCAACCCCAATGATAAGCTCCCATCGAAGTAGCTCATCTCGACATTATGGAAGAGCTATAAAATAGCTCACCTCTACATCAACAAATAAGCTCTCACTGGAGTAGCTCATCTCAACATCAACAAAGAGCTTTCATTAGAATAGCTCATCTCGACACCAACGATGAGCTCCCATCGGAGTAGCTCATCTCGATATCAACGATGAACTATCATTAAATAGTTCATATCGACACCAGCGATGAGCTCCCATCAGAGCAGCTCATCTCGACATCAACGATGAACTTTCATTAGAATATCTCATATCGACATCAACAATGAGCTCCCATTGGAGCAGATCATCTCGACATCAACGATGAACTCTCATTAGAATAACTCATCTGGACGCCAACGATGAGCTCCCATTGGAGTAGCTCATCTCGGCATCAACAATGAGCTTTCATCGGAATAGTTCATCTCGACATCAAGGAATAAATATACGATAATTCATCTCAACTTCAACGATGAGCTCTCAGGTAGCTCACTTCGACCACTATAATGAATTCCCCATCAAATATCTAATCACAATAGCCAATGGATGAGCTCCCACTAGGTAGCTCATCTCGGCCTGAAAGATCAACCCTCATCAAAACTCACTTAAGGTAAAAAGAATGAACCGCCATCAGATATTGAAATCTTCAAGAACTAACCAAGATTACATCGACTTTGAAGACCGAGGCCACCTAGAGTCGAAACTTCTAAAAATTAGCTCAAGTCTTGACGACAAGACCTTACAGAAAAGAGAGCATGACCAAACTTCTCATAAATCTGGCCACGTGTTAGTATGATTTATGAAACAATACTTTGACAAGTTAGCTTTATAACTTACCAAAGTGGGGGCAAATGTTGGTGGCAAAAATATGACATACCATGTGGCGAGATATGGCCGAGCTAATGAGCTCACCTATTGCCGAGCTCATGAACTCACCTATGGCCGAGCTCATGAGCTCACCTATGGCCGAGCTCATGAACTCACATATTTCCAAGCTCCTAAGCTCACTGATGGCCGAGCTTGAGCTACTGAGCTCATCCATAGCCGACCTGAATTATTGCCGACCAATGGCCCGACATCTAACCGTCATGTCGTAACAGCCATAATGAACATGTCTTTTCACTCCTCCTATCAAACGACCTTCATTCCTCTTACTCATGTATGTCTTTCTACTCCGACAACGACCTATTTGAGCTCGCGCCTACACTGACTTGAGCATCATAGTGTTTACTTTATTTTTGCAGGTCCTACCTTGCATGAGCTCGCACCTTGTCAACTCGGCCAGTTGCCACGTGGCCGACCTGGGCAGCTCGGTAGAATTTTGCATCAACAGTAGAGATTGTTGCTTGGGGTGCACGGTGAAACAGATAGAGTCGGGTCGAATAGAAACGATTTTGTGTTTTAATCAGTTTTGCAATTCGATTTGATTTTAATTCAGGTCTAAAGTCGAGTCAAACTAAATTGTAAATACCTATGGCCTCCCAAAAAAAAATATATATATATATATAGACATTTTATATTTGTACCATAGTAAGTTACGAATAATGTTAGTAAATTTTATCTCTAATCTATATAATATAATACTATATCTCTATAGTATTATATATCAATAATATATAATATAAATTTTGTTTAGACGATTTTAACCTTACCATTTTTTGAATAATACTTAAAAAAATATTTGTGACTTACAATGTTGAGCATCTCTCCCACACCCACCCATCCACCATGATTGTTTTTTTTTTTTAGAATATACCGAATAGCTTTATTTTATTAATTTGTATATCATTATTATTTATTTAAGATATTATGATCATATGACTTTACGCTAATAATTTTAAAGTCAGATATTCATAATCCCACCCATTCTAAGTAATGAAATAAAATGTAAGCACACTACCCATGCAAATTCTTCCTTTTGAAAGAAAATATGATGCAAGGACACGATCTACTAATTATTTGAAATGTATACCGAACATAAATATAAATTTATTAATAATTTTTATTATAACTTAAACATGAAATAGTTAATCATTTTAATTTATTTAAAATTAAAAATACTATTGTCCACCTCTAATATATTGACTTGAGAATTTAGGGTAGTCTTTTTTTTCCTTTTGACTTCTACCCATCGTGGTCTAAAGAATTGAAATCAATTTTAGTTATAATCTTTTCATATTATTGTATATTATTGTGTTCTTTCATTTCATTCTAATATTTTTATTTGGTAGGAAAGCTCAAATCTAAGTTATAAGGTAAAATGAAACTATTTTAGATATTGAAACATATTCCAAAAAAATGTATCAATGTTTCTATTAACTAGAGCGGTAAAATGAATTGATAATAGATTTCTAATTGTCAATCAAGTTATATGCACTTGCGGGTGTGGCGAAGTGGTCTTAGGGCTGGATGTTAACACCCAACGTCCAAGTTTGAGTCCCACTACTTCCGCTAGGTGTTGGATAATTTAATGGTAACCATAGATACCCAAGTTTATAGGGTGTCCCTGGAGGGTTAAGTTAAGTTAAAACATACCTCCTTAGTCAAGAGGAGGAAATGAAAATGTCATATCGGAGAACTTGTTATTGTACATACACTCGAAAGGAAGGAAAACATTTCCAATAGGTACATATACAATAAGCTGAAGAAGAAAAAGGATTAGCCTTTGTAAGATTTTATGAAAAAAGTTTGAGTTTTGACCTACTAGATGGGTTCAACATCTCTAGTTGTTTAGCATTTCTAAAATTATATAGCCATTTTCTACTTGTCGAATGAGCATTTATATCCTAAACTTGAGGACAAGTTTGTTTCATTGGAGAAGTGAATTGACAAACTTTTTCGGTCTTCAGTCTCATTTGTTTTTAGGAAATGTAGATTTGCCTCTATAGATGCCAAGAATTTTAAATGCCCGAAATTTAATGTTTGTTTTGGGAATATTTGGGTAGTCACGTTTGTTTTGCGAGATTTGTTCTCCATTTGTTAAATTTGTAGAATGTTCCAAAAATACCCTTACGAATGTTTATATAATTTATAAACTCATTTAATATAATAGACTTATTTGAATTAATTTAATATTTTTATTTTTTATATGTTATTTGAACAAATTAATTCATATTAACTTAATATAAATTTTATTTCAACTTTAATAGTTTTCCAGGACGACAATCATATAATTTATGTAATCTTTGGTGATATTTATTATCCTATTATCACATTATATTTTTTTAAGAAGAAAAATATCACAGGTATATTAGTCGTAAAAAAATGTTGCTTTCAAATTATATATTTATGATAATAAATATTATTAATAATGTAATTTCCTCGCACTATTAAAAATAAATTGAGATATTAGATAATTTAATTGTAATTTTTTTACATGTAAATCTAATGTACAAATATACTTAATAGCAGAGAGTTCTTTATTAGATGATGAGTACATTAATTTATTTTAATTATCAATTTAAAATTAAAAAATAAAGATTTTTTTTTAGAAAAAATTTAAAAATTTTTTATGAAAGAAAATATATGGAGAAACAATGAAGGGCAAAAATGTAAAAAATGGATGCCCTCAACATGGGAATCTTGGAAACCCATGTTTCAAAATAGCATATGCCTCCCATGGGCATCCTAGGATACCTGGGCATCTCAAAATTTCCGGGTATCCTACATTCCGACGAAACAAATGTGAGAATCCAGATGCCAGTCTAACGGGAATCTCGGATTCCCACGAGGGGCCGTTTGTTTTTTGGGAATGCAGATGCACGACATCTTCAGATGCTTGGAATTTCAGATGGTCAAGAATTTTAGATGTCCGGTATCTTCAGATGACCACGTTTGTTTCGTAGGAAAATATATAATGTTGTCCGGGAATATCTGAATAAGCACGTTTGTTTTGTAAGATTTATTCATGTGAATGTTCTAAATTTATATAATGTTCCAAAACGCCCTTACGAATATTCATATAATTAATACATTAATCTAATATAATTTGCATTTATATAATATATTTTCTTAAAATTAATTTAATATTTTAGATTATTTTTTTATTAATTATATTAATTTTTGTATGTTATTAGCTAGAATTCGTATTAATATAAGACTTTTTTTTAAAGTAATTAATATTGAATATAAATTTCATTATCAACTTTAATATTTTTTAAAAATACAATTATATAATTAATGTTATATGGGGTAAAATTCATTTATTATATTATCAAATTATATTCGTTAAGAAAATGTTGTTTTAAAATTATGTATTTAAGACAGTAGATATTATTCATAATATTTCATTCAAAATATTAAACGTAAATGGAGATATTATATAAATTAATTGAAGTTTATTTTATAGGTACATGTAATACATAAATATACTTAATTGCTTATTAGTCAATCAATATATTAAATATATGAAAAAATAACAAAGGGTTGTAAACGTCAACGTAGGATGCCATCGACATGGGAATCATGAAAATCCATGTTCCAAAAGGGCATCCAAACTGACTTGGATGCCTTCCAAATTGACATCCTAGGATACCCAGACATCTCGAGATACCCGGGTATCTTACATTACTACAAAACAAACGTGGGAATCTAGATGCCCGTCCCACAGGAATCTTGGATTTCCACGAAACAAACGGCCCCTTAAGGTGATTGCTTATTCCCTCCTGAACTCTCAAAAGTATTTGATAAGTCTCTAAACTTTCAATTTTGTTTCGGGTTAGGATCTCTGACCCATTCGACATCTTCTTTTACACAAAACTGAATTTTGTCTAATGAGTCGACCTTGACATTTCAATTTTGTTTATGATAGGTCCATGAATTTCGAAAAAGAAAATTTATACAAAGAACTTGAAAGTTCAAGAATCTATTAGATACCTTTAAAGTTCAAGCCATCTCAAATTTAAAACTTTTTAAAATTTAAGAACTTATCAAACACGACTCGAAAATTATTCAAACTATAAAGAAACTAATGCTACAAACTATTATTTAAGGAATTTTTTCAAACATGAAGGGTAACTTTATTATAAGGATCATGCATGAGAAGTTGCAATCCTAGCCCAACAAGGCGAGAAGAAAGTCCCTGTAGCCGCCTGATGTCTCAGAATGTACTGCTTCATGCAGTGTTTTCTTATACTTCCTTTGGTATTCTGTCTTTATATATTGCATATCTATCTCGACTCTTGACACAATTACCCTTATTAGGGTATGATCGTCGGTTCCCAAGCCCTTCATAGCCTTGTGCAAAATCTAGAATTAAACAATCATTTCAACAATGTTTAGATTCCGTTTAATAACCATTTTAGTTTTATGGTTTTATTTTTTGAAAAAACAAAAATTAAATAAGTTCGATAACTGTTCTTGGTTTTCCGTACTTTTAAAAAGTTGGAGAGATAGAGAGATATGTTAGAGAGAGTGATATGTATGGATGTATGGAAATAAAAGAAAAAAATTTTAGAATTGAAGTTAGAGAAATTTTAGAGAAATGATTTAGAGAAAATTTAGACAAACCAGAAATATGTTTGAAAGGAAATTTAATTAGGATAGCTATATGTTAAGGTATTGGAACAAAAAGTTATTAAGAAAATAGAAATTTTAGGGAGTAAAGTTATTAAGGAAAACATAAATAAAAACAAAAGTTGTAGTGAGAAAAAATTTAAAGAAAATTTTAGAAGGAGAAAAGTTAGAGATATATATTATTGCAGAGAAAAATGAATTAGAGAGATAAATAAATGTTACAGAGTATGAGAAATTTTAGTGAGCTATCTTTTAAAGAAAAATTGATATGTAAGAGAGAAATTTTAGAGAAAAAGAAAAGTTTTGGACAAATATTAAAATTTAAGAGATCATAAAAATGAGAGATGTAAATTTTGGAGAGAAAAAAAGGTGGGAAAAAAGAGAATTTTTTTGTTGGGAGAGAGAAAAAAATAGTGGGTTAGAAGGAAATATAAGAAAATGGGAGATTTTGAAAAACTTTTTATTTTTAATTCATTACAAAACCATTTTTCAAAAAGTGAAAACTAAATTGATTATCAAACCACACAATTTTTCAAAAATTAAAAACTAAAAATAAGAGACATAATCAAAGGGGCATACATCAAAAGGAGAGTGATGTAAGAGCACGTACTCCAATTAAGGACAACATTGGAATATTATAATTACAAAATAAAGTGGATATTGTGGACTGAGTTTCTTCCCCAAGGAGGGTTGCATTTTGAGCTGCATCCGGAAAAATTCACCTATTGCTTTCAAGCCAAAGATGCGAAATGGTACCTACAACTATTTGGTCTAGGCTGCAATCGTATAGTCATTCCTCGATAGAAGCATCAATTTTTTTAGGCAAAGGAATTTCTTGGGCGAAAATATACCTAAATAAAGCCTAGGAAAAGTAGGGTATCTTTGTTCGAGGGGACGAGATTCAGCTAGGTGTTCTCACAAGGTGGTTCATGTAGCAAATGCTCTATCTGGACGCTAGACAGAAGGGGATTCTCATTTCCAACCTGGAGTAGATGGTTTGCATGACTATTCGAGGCAATATACAAGTGACACTTTGTTCGAGGGGAGGATTGTTGCGTTTGTAAGGAGTACAAACAAAGTCCCAAGGAAAGAGGTGATCCATGGTATATAAGAAAGAACAATTATCTCCATTGATATGAGATTTTTTGGTTGCAAAGTCGTAAGGCTTATGTCTAAAGCGGACAATATCATGTGAGCGTGAGTCTACCAACTTTAGACAAGCTCGCATACTTCTATTTATCAAATTTCCTCTCTATATCTTCCACGATTGGAGTCCCATTTTCGGATTGTCACCTAGAGGCATATTAAGATAGTGTTTGGGAGAGTTTGTTTAAATGGGTGAGCTACAACTTTTGCTAATATTTTATAAATACTTGTAGTAAGGCTGCGATGGCCTAGAAAATTTTTTAATAAGGGCAATAAAAGTCTCAATATTGACTACTCGATTTATAATTTCGTTCTTAAAAATTTCTTGGAACATTCCCAATAAATCTGATTTGATAATGTTCCACAATTATTTTATCCAGGAGATTTATTTTGGCACGACAGTGAGCCTATTTTTTTGCTCTATAAATATAAGAGCCCATTTAGATTATACATATACGATGCAACCATTCAGCTCTTGATCATTGTAAAGATCATGGAAATATTTAACCACCTCTTCTTCAATTTGACTATAATCAGTGATTAAACTATTACCTTTCAGATCCACAATTTCCTATATGAAACTATGTCTTTTGTGAGCAGACAAACTTTATGAAAGAAGCTTGAGTTTTCATTTACGAGCCAAGTTCGTTTGCATTTCTAGCTCCATAATCTAATCTCTTTTATCGCCAGAGACGTTAAATCAGCCTGAAGGAATTTTCTTTTGTGCACATCTATCTTCAATTACACCGATCTACTCTTCGAGATCAATTTCAGAAAGTTCCTTTCTGACCGCCAGCTTTTGTGATTGAACCTTCCCATGTTAGTTAACTCAAGCTACAACTATAAATTTGAATGTTAGTTTTGAGTGGTCTAGTCCAAGTCCTGGAAAATCTTAAGGATTTAGTGGAGTAAGTTGCTAATTTTTGTGGAGATAGTTGAGTCTATTTTTAGCATTAGAATGTGTATTTATATGGAGCATTATTATTGAATGAAATTCACACTTCCCCACTTTCGCATTTCTCCCTCAACAATAAGAACTACAATGGTATCATAGCCCTAAATTATTAAGGGATCAGTGAAATATTCTCAAGAGAAACCAAGTGATACAACTGTGAGAGTTGTGTTAGATGGATTTAGGATCAAACATTCTTTCTTCACGAGCTCCACTTGTGTTTGATGGTGAAAACTACCAAGCATGGGCTATAAGAATACAAGCGTAGATGGAGGGTTGTGATTATTAGGAAGCAATTGAGCACGATTATGTGATTGATCCACTTCCTGATAACCCAAGAATGCATTAGATCAAGACTTATAAGGATAGGGTCACCAGAAAGGCAAGGGCTCAAGCTTGCCTGTATGCAGCTATGTCTCACACCATATTCAACAGAATTATGGCCTTGAAGTCAGTAAAGGAGATCTAGGAGTTCCTCAAAGGTGAGTATGAATGTGATGAGAGAATTAAGGGCATGAAAGTATTGAACTTGGTGAGGGAATTCAAGAAAATGCATATGAAGGATTTTTAGTCCATTAAGGAGTACTTAGACAAGTTTATTGGAATCGCTAACAAGATAAGTGTTGGGTTTAGTCACATCCTTTCAATAAGAGCATTAGGAACTGGTTTATCTAACAATAGATTAGTTCAGAAGATTCTGGTTTCAATACCTGAGAGATAGGAAGTAACCATTGATTCCTTGGAAAATATTAAAGATCTCTCTAAACTCAAGGTAATAGAAGTAGTTAGTGTTTTGCAAGCATAGGAGTAGAGGAGGTTGATGAGGCAAGAAGGAAGCACAGAGGGAGCACTGAAAGCTAGAATGCAGCAGAGAGAAGGTGGAAGGGAGAAGAAGTGGAAAGGAAAGAGGGGAAGTGGCAACAACATCTCGAAATCCGCTACAAAGGTTGCTAGTAGTGCATACAAGCACTATTG